GCTGGAGTATCCTTTCCTTTTGTTGACTTTACTATTTATATTGAATTGGTATTGTTAGACTCAGATTGTATTATGTGGATTATGTTTCCATGGTGTTTCGTACCCTGGGCTATCAGATTCTGCTAGGATGTGTATTATCAAATGTGTGATATACGTTTGAATAACGGCTATCGATCCATGCACTTTCAACTTAGCAACTGCCGGCCCATGCGATTTTCACTTGCATCTTTGTGTCCTCTTTTTTAAATGAAATTTTGAGATACGAGTACCATTGCTTGGATCATCATATACTTTATTTTACTTTATTTTAAATAAACTTTTGAAGTATGGGTATAACCGCACACGTTGTGTCTTCAAAACAGAAAAAATAAAAAATATAAAAAATTATGTAATTTTGATTTCTCATTTTGAATGGGAATACTTAAGAGTAAGATCAATCTTATCGGGTTCAAATAAAATTTTTTTAAAATATTTTTTTCTCTTTTCTCTTCTTTCTTTTTCTTTCTTTGTTTTCTAATTTTAGAGAAAATAAATATTTTTAAAATCACATCCTTCTTTTATACATTCAAATAAGGATAACCAGACAAATGTTGTAAAGTTAATATCTTTTCTCTACATTATCGATTTCCGAATCTAAATCTTATTTTTGTAGAACTTGTCTTGTCATTACTATTTTTCATAATAAATTATAGGGGTGACTCAAAAACTTTGATTTCCGACTAAGACAGATTTGACATATTGTGTGTCACATTTTATTTAGTCGCAAAAGTTCCAGGTGAATCAGAATAGAAAATATCAATGCTACTTGAAGTAACTGGTCATTGTGAAGCAAGACTAAACAAACTTTCATTTGAAAAAAAAAAAAACAATGAAGGCACCGTTGAAATTACAGGACATGAGCAAGACATACGCGAAGAGGAAAATAAGAATATCATAATTCGTAGCCCCAAGCATGTTGTTCGCAAAAGAAAAACCATGCAGCAAGCGGAAAATGTCCACTGTGGAAAAGAAAGTAAAGAAAAGCTCACGTAGTTATCACAATATAATTGTTTCTGTGTAGGTGGGTAATCGTGCATACATGCTTAATTATGAATAACTGTTATCATTTGATTAGTGTGTATATTGTATTTATAACACATCTTCTTTCCACGTAGGAGAATGTTTGTGTGGGTTCAAGCCCCTTGCCAACATCAAACCTTATATTTCACATATCACATAATTGCTTGGCTTGACAATTATCAACTGCATATAACGATAGATTTATGTCATTATTGTCCTCTTTTGACAACAATGCTCAATCTCTATCACATGCCTTCACGTCTGCATTAGGGAATACAAACTTATGCATTTTTGGTTTTCTGTAAACTGTTTATTAATTTCATAAATAAATTCATTGTTACATATAAGATACATTTCTTATATGGTGTTCTTCCTTAATTGCAGGAACATAAAAAAAATTGGTATACCGTTGGCAATGACATTATTGGTTTGCTCCAATAATTCGTGCAGTCAGTTTTTTAATGCACTATTAGTCCATGTCTAAATTTTGTGTAATATTAATTATATATATATATATATATATATATATATATATATATATATATATATATATATATTATGTGTTAGTAAAAAAGGATGTTTTTGTAAGTGTCATTATTAAATTTTTTTATAATAACTTACAAATAAATTATATTTATTTATAAATAAATGTATATCCATATAAATATATAAATATAAATATATATAAATATATAAATATATAAGTATATAAATATATAACTATATAAATATATAAATATATATAAATATATCAAAATATAAATATATTTGTATTTATATATTTTATATTTATATATTTGTATTTATATATTTTATATTTATATTTATATATTTACACGGATAAATATAAATATAATTTATTTATAAGTTATTATCGAGAATATCACTAATAGTTTAGTGGTTGGAGTATTAATCTTCAATTCTAAGGTACCTACAGACGAGTAAATCTAATAATAATTTAAAGTTATAAAAATATAATAAATATTAAAAATATAATATAAAAAAAGAGACTCTAAATAATAATAAAAAATAAATAAGGACAAATAGTATTACTTATAAACCCTAAATATGATAATAATTTAAAATTATAAAAATGTAATAAATATTAAAAACATAAAAGGAAGGAACTCTAGATAATAATAAAAAATAAGTAGATAATAAGTTTTATTTTTTTTAGTGTATACTCGTACATGTTGACAACAATATTGGCCAACAAAGGCTACTTGAAGTGGCATTTGGTCCTTTTTATACTGTTGTTAATGTTAACTTTAATGTGGTGATGTTACCGCTTCTTCAATTATTATTAGGTAAGTCTATTCAAACGATGGTGACAATACATGTGCCAACAATATGGTGTGTCAATTCCATAGAGTACATATGAGTTGCGTGGCCTAGTCCTGCATTATAATTCTGACATGGTTTTGTGTGACATTAAGGTGAAAAGTGTTTAGCAGTTCGCTAAGCATTACGCATTACGTTGTAAATTTAAGACCTTGTCCTGCATAAAACTCCCGTCTCATCTTAATTGCACTATGTAAATTGAACACTAACTAAAAATATAATGTATTTTCATGTCACTAGGATGAAACATATTATGATGAAGAATTTACATGTAATTTACAATCACGGATAATTGTCAATATAAGTTTAATATTTACATCAAATTAAGTAGTTGTTATTTTTAATACAAACAAAATTTTCAAACCAATTTCAAATCTTTAAAGATTATACGTTCTTATGGTTAAGATAAAATATAGTTAATATTAACCAAAATACTGCAATAAACAAATAATAATATCATTTATAATTAAACTCACATTTTAATAAAAAATATATCATAAATAATAAATACTTTGATTATTACATAATCATTCAACTTTAAAATAATTTCAGACATACATTTAACTTACTAATACAAATAGATAAATTAAAATAAATTATTCATAAATATTTTTAAGAAAGAACTACATTAATTTAATTCTCCATTGCACTTGGAAATATATAAGAACATAAAAATAATCTTTATCTAACTAAAAATATAAAAATATATAGTTTTTTATTTTTAGTAGCAATATTTAATAGATATATAAATTTGAGTGATAAAATAGATAATTTTAAGATATTTAACTTTTTTAAAATAACTATTTTTAGAACGGGTATTATAAGATGTTAATACCTTCCTTACCCATAATCGATTTTCGAATTTAACCTTTATTTCATAGACCAATTTTTTTTCTTTTAAAATTTTTTTCTAATATTTTTTTTTAATTAATATTAATGATAATTCCATTATTTTCTTTCATTATAAATATAATTTTATTGTCCGGTCACAATTTTGGAGGTGACAAATGATGTCTCTAGCGGAGAGCCTATCATAATTAGACAGAAAAAAAGTTAAAATTTTTTATTATTTGTTGAAACTCTCCTTCTTTATATGTGTACTTTGTAGAGGAGGGTAAGGGAAATGGGCCGACCCCATTTGCAAGCTAATTCTTATTGGTTTAGCTGAAATGCTTATTGGATTCTTGTGATTTTAACTTTGGTAGAGTAGCTTTAATTACTACTTTGGGCCAAAGCTAAGGACTAAACAACACACTTGCACTATAAATTCCAACCCACAAGAGACTCTAATCTTATAGCTCATGAAAAATTGATAACCATATATGGTACAAAATTGTATAGGTATGAATCATTACTGTTAGATTTTTACGTCATTATTCTAAATATACTTTTAGGACAATAAATATAATAAAATTTAATTTTAACATATATTAGATATGTATATTTCATAATACATGAAGTAACATTACTAAAATATTTTACATTTCGAAAATTTTTGATGGATTTTGCAAATTTCATTTGAAAATTCACTAAAATCTCATTTTATGATTTTTTATTATAAAATACAGAAAAACTTGCATGAGATATAAACAATTTTAGTAGTGTAATTTACACTTTATACGCTAATCCAAATTGAACAAAAGATTATCACTTTTATGAAAAGATCGGCACCTAAAAGAAGCATTGTGGAATAAAATGGTGGAAAGGAAGAGTGTTTTGATCTTTATCCATTAATTACTTTTTCTTCCGTTGTTAGAAAAATCCGGATGAATTGGGAGAGAGAGAAAAAAAAAATGTTAGAATATGATCTATATATTTATTTTACATATTTTAAGGTTTTAGTTGTTTGGGGTCCATGTTGCGCCTGCGTTGGATTTAGCAAGTTTATAAATATTGGTAAGTGATAATATATATATAATTTCTTTAGTGGAAGCAACGTCATAGTATGAAGAAAGTTATGAAAGAAAGAATATAAGAAAGTAATGCATGGGCATATATGTGTTACTTACTTGACACCTAAAAGACACATACAGATAAAAAAGAGAAGCTGTCATATAATATATGATTAATTAGTACGATGAAACACTAGGAGATAGTTGAAAATAATATATATATATATATATATATATATATATATATATATATATAAGTATTCATATATTATTGGTAGAAAAATAACTAAAATATTTGAATACATAAAAAGAAAAAAAGTTTATAAGAAGTTATATAATTTAGATATTATGCTGAAGCAACTAAGGTACATTTTGATAACAGAAGAATATATTAAGGTGTATTAAAAAAGATAAGGTGAAAAAAGTGGACATGCGGTATCTGAGAATCAGAGTTGAGACGTCCTGTGAAAGTTCATCCCCCATTTGTGCATTAAGTTGCATGTTTGGAGTGAATTGTGGTAAAGTTAAACGAAAAGAGAGTGTGGAGGGAGGTGATTATGCAGAGTGAGCTTACAGTAGTTCACATGATTATTGTCTCCCTAGGAAGCGTAGCGAGTATTGGATTGAGGATAAGGGTAAAGGAGAAAGGAGAAGGCATGCGTGTCTAAGAAATGAATCTGGCACAGTAACAGAGAGAGAGAGGGGGGTATGGGGTCCACCATGAGTTCGGGTAAAGAGTGCTTTGGATGGAGTAAGGGCCGACAAAGAGCATCTTCCGATGCATGGGTTTTATTTACGCACGGGAGTTGTTAGTTGTGCGTTGTGAGAGAGAGTTGGCGTTTTGTGGGATTTTTTTAATTGGAGTTTCAGCAAACTCTCCGGCGCTTGTGCACCAATGTGTTGGTTCCTTTGCTTTCCAGTGCCTGTCAGCGCCACCCACGCGTCTCCAACACTCTGTAATATGCGCTCATTGGTCAACACCCTGCTCTCCACCAACCCTTACACCCTGGCTTCCCCCTCCTCTCTTAATTCCTTTCTTCTTCCACACCACACCTACTCCTACTACTCTATACTATTACCGCACCCTTCCCCTTCACAATTCTCATCCATTAATTCCTTTACCTCACCACTTGTCCCATCCACCAGGCTCCATCTCCCACAAAACAATCTACATCTCCATCCATCATTTACCGCTTCCTATATCTTTTTCTTCCTATACATATATTTGCACGCCACACAAACTTCACTCTTATAGATTATGGGGAAATTTTGCTATGTAGGAAAAAGTGCATCCTTCATCTCTCTGTCTGTATATACTATGTTATCCATTTCCTGGAATCCAAGAAATTAACAGTTGCAGTGGCGCGTGCATGTGCTGCTTTGAATTTTTTATCATTGGCGTTAACCTATTGCAATTGCTACGTGAAAAATGGATAAGTTCCTGTCTTAGTTTTATATCATTTATGCCCACTAGTTGTTTTTGTTAATTACCATGTTGGACTGACTCTAGTTTTTATGAAACTTGTTGGACGATATTCCGGTACTGGAATATAGTAGCTAGGTCATGCAAATGAATTTAGGGAAATATTAACAGAAGTGAGGAGAGAGTAGTGGAGGAGGGAGAAGTCCGTGCAAGACTTGGAATTGACCCGAAAGAAACGGGTGAAACGCATGAGTCAGGCTTATGGCAGGTGGGCCTGAATTTTAAGGTTAGACTTTGAGAAGATTAATAAAGATACAAGTTATGCGACGATGAGCCAAGTGTGCTTGTGGAGGGTCATGGAAAATTGAAGCACAAATACCCTAGCAGCCTCTCTCAATGCACACGGGTCCAGTGAAGTTTTAATTGTGCCAGCTATTGTTTCATTTACAGTCTAAACTAGTCTGTCATATGCCATGGAACTTCCCGTTTGTGTTCTGGATATTCTCGGGACAACGGCCTCAGAAAAAATTGCGTTAAACTTCAAAACTTGACCTTCTTCTCGCTCATCATTTATTATTTTAACACCGATTAATTACTAATATTAATAATAAATTATTATAGATTACTCTTCTAAATGAAACTGAATTCAGACAGACTTTCCTTCAATTAATTAATTAATGGTATTCTCTCTCATAAATTAAGTCAATATTGACAGCTACTCCATACCCAATAAGCAAATGTTTAGTATCATCACCACCTTATTGTATGATTTCAGTCTTTTAATACTATCGCTAATTCATACTTATCATCTTATTGAAAAGTTTTGTTCAAACCACAACACTACTTTTAAAGTCATACCACTACTTTAATATTTAACACTGTATGGTTTAATGATGGCATACAAAACTTTACATAATTAGCTTCTCGAAATCAACCTTCTCTTTTGATGAACTGAATTAACTAATGTCGTAACTTTTAATGCTAATGACTTCAATTTAGTAGTAAGAAGTGTTAAAGCTATTAGACATCTGTGAAAGTGCTTTTTTAGAAAAATTACTTACAAACAACAAATATTATTTTAATATAGATCTTATACTTAGTTATTTTAAACTAAAAAAAAACTACTTGTATAAATATTTTTCATAAATTTTAAACAATTCATATATAAAAAATACATTGAAATAATACTTTTATTTTTAAACAACACTTTGCATTAAAAGAATTCTCTTTAAAGTTGTGAGAACTCCCTTTTATATCGTCTTACTACATCCCATTCCAAAATGCCACTATAGTGCATGTGTTACACAAATTGAAAAGCTATCAAATATTTTAGCTCTATCGAAAGTTTAATTATTTTTATCTATTTACACTATCAACAAATTATAAAATATTATGAATATGATTTTTCAAATAATTATTACAATTTTAAACGATATGATAATTCATGATTAATTGATCGTATAATAACATATTTCAAGTAAATAGATAGTTTATTTAGTTAAATTATCGTATTACTCAACCAATACTTTATCTTTCTTTTATTGATATCAGAAAGTTATATATGTAATTTTATAAAATAATTTGGCACAAATTTAACTATATATATATATATATATATATATATATATATATATATATATATATTATTTTATGCTAATAGTATGATGAATTCAGAAAGTAATGTACTTCCCTGTCCCATAATTAATGTATTTCAGTCATTAAAAAAATTGATCGATGTTATCACTATTTTAATAAAATATTATGATTTTCTGATATATCATTAAATTAATTACTTTTTTATCTCCGGTCAACTTATATATTATTAAAAAAATAAAATGTCTTTGATAATTAAGACTGTTTAAAAAGTTTATTTACTATTATATTATTATTATTTTAATACTCCTTTTCCCTTATTTTCTTTTAATATTGCTTGTAAAAATAAATAAAAAAATCCCAGCTTTCTTCATTATAATAAAATACTTTTTATTTTAAAATTTTATATTTTTACTCATTTTTTAGAAAATTATATTTATATTTTAGATTCTTTGATAATATGTATCTATATATTACATAAGGTGAAATAAAATTATTGTTAAACAACTTATTTAAGTTTCTTTCTTCTTTTATTCCATAATAGATGTATGTGCAAATTTATTAACATGTTTATGATTTTGTCATTTTAAAAAAATATATAGAATTAAAATTAATTAGTTGAAGGAGATGATAAACGGAAAATACTAATCATCTCTTTCATTAGCAAAGAATGAGGCAAAGAAATATCACACTTTCTACAAATCACATATTTTTTATTTTCCACTCATGTGAGAAGAATATAAAAAAAATTATTTTCCAAAATTACTCTTCTTTATCTCTTTCTGTAATAAATAAAAAGATATATTTTGACACTCATTTATTTATTTCAATTTTTTTCAATCTTCTATTGTAATAAAATAGACTTAAATGTATAATTAACAAAAGAATAATTAATATAATATTAAAAAAATAAAAAATCTCACAATTAAAAAATGGAGAAAAAGTGTACGTGAAATAATGTTATAGTGCGTTAGGAGTTTCATAACCGTATTTATATTTGAATGAAGTAGAAAATAAAATAAAATTAAATGCAGAAGACTAGAATTAACTAAATTATTACTCTCATTCAAAGCGTTTTATTCAATTCAAGTTAAAACATTTAAAGCAGTATAATGAAAAACATTTAATTCTTTTTTTAATAACTCTGACAACAAAACACTTCCTTCATTTCATTTCATAAATTGAAATCAATATGGTTTTAATGCATTGAAGAATTAAATTAAATGATTTTAAATGTAAAACTAATATAAATATTGGTAATAGATGTATCATGTACTCCACAGAGTCTATGTTGTCCATAGACAGAGAGAGAGAGAGAGAGAGTGATGGGGACCCATCCACCGCCCATAAGCACGCAGTCTTTCTGCAAACAAATCTAGTTTGGATCTGTCTTTCTCAATCTAACCCTAACCCAACAGTGCTTCTCCCAAAATAGGAGAAGAACAACCTTCAACCTTGCTCTCTCTCTCTCTCTCTTCACTCCAAGGGGAAGGAACTCCAATTTACACACCCTTCACCATTAGAGGCCCGTTTCTAGAGGAGGCAGGTTGATGTAAAAGTCAATTAAGGTCAATCTCAATCACAAATTGGTGGCCTGGCCTACACTAATTTCAATCTCCTATTCCATCAACAGTTTCAAACTTGGAACTTGTCACCACTCACCACCAGTTGGATTCATCAAATCAACAAGATCTTCAAGGAGTCAGGAGCAAGAGAATCTGGAGAGAGCCCTCACTGGTCATATATAACAGTTCGTTCTCATTATTTTCCTTCCATTTCCATCCACTCCATATTTTGTTTACTTCATCTACATATACACATATATTGGAATTGAAAAATTCATTTATACTTTCCTGCATATGAAATGAAGTCTACTTAGAGTTGAGAGCTTCACAATCATTATATCTGTATCCATAGACACTCAATTATACATTGAAGGATAGAATCAGAATGGATCCAATCACAGCACGTGGTCACTCCCTTCCCCCTCCTTTCCACACAAGAGATCTCCATCTGCACCACCAACCGCAACAGCACCAATTCCAAACCTTAAACCAAGGCACTGATGACGAGCACAGCGGAAGCAGCAGCGCGCAGAAAAGGGAACGCGAGGAGAACAACGGCAACAACAACGATGAAGGTGCTGGCGAGGCTGAGATAACAAGAAGACCTCGCGGAAGACCAGCCGGGTCCAAAAACAAACCGAAGCCACCCATTATCATCACTCGCGACAGCGCAAACGCCATGAGAACCCACATGATGGAGGTGGCAGACGGGTGCGACATCGTGGAAAGCGTGTCTGAGTTCGCGAGGAAACGCCAGAGAGGGGTTTGCATCATGAGTGGCACTGGCACAGTCACCAACGTCACTCTCAGGCAACCGGCTTCTTCCGGTGCGGTTGTCACTCTCCATGGAAGGTTCGAGATTTTGTCCCTCAACGGATCGTTCCTTCCACCGCCCGCCCCACCGGCTGCATCCGGTTTGACCATTTATTTGGCCGGTGGCCAGGGACAGGTGGTGGGAGGGAGTGTGGTTGGGACACTCGTTGCTTCGGGGCCTGTGGTGATCATGGCTGCTTCGTTCAGCAACGCTGCTTATGAGAGGCTTCCTTTGGAGGATGAAGACCCTTCGCTGCAAATGCAAGGAGGCTCAATTGGGTCACCCGGTGCAAGTGGTGTTGGTCAGTCACAGCTTCTAGGAGGAGGGGATGCAACTGCTCCACTTTTCCATGGTTTGCCTCCTAACCTTCTCAATTCTGTCCAAATGCCATCTGAACCATTCTGGGCATCCAATCGCCCACCCTTCTAAAGTCTGTTTGGCCAAACAACTTAATCCAATAAATTCTTGCTCAATCAACTAGAGTTTATTGGTAAATTTGACTGCAAAGCTTATTCGAATAAGCGAAATAGTAGAGGCGGTAAGAAATTTACATGTTATTTTCATAATTTCAAAATAATCTCTTCCAATTGTCTCATCATTGTCGCCATAAGTTCTACATTGTTGTTCTCATCACTGTAACAGTTAGCTTTTGTGGTGGTGGTGGTGGGGAGATGGCAAGAAATTCATTTAGTTAGGGATGTTGAAAGTAGGAATTGAGGTTTCATGCTTCGTTAATTTGTGTGTCATTTTGATTATTAGGGGATATATAATGTTTTCTTCTGCATGTTTTCGAGACTGTAATTAAACTGATTATGAATTATATATCCTTGGTGAGTTTGATTCTGTCAATGACAACGTGGTGCTTTTGAGTTTGTCTGGTGATTATATATATTATTTATCAGTTTTTATCAACGAAACAGTATCAAGTAACGAATGTACGACCACAATTTTTGGTTGTTTCAGTCTGACTGTGGGTTGGTTAATCAAACATGTTTGTAGGCTTCTCGACAACAAACTAGTTACGTAAGAATATAAATTTTGTAGGAGATTAGTTTCTTTTTCTTTTTCTCTTTACTATACTCCATGCAATTAACAAGATTTAAAAAGACGATTCTCAACTTCAATATTTTTGAAGCATTTCCAATCATACATCATTGCATTTATCAGTAATTTTTCACAAGATTAAAAACTTAACAAAACCGTAAAAACTGTTTAAAAACCTTTTTAATTATACTAGTTGAGATAAACTTGTATGTGAGGGAACTGGTTCACACATGCAGTGTCTGATGAACGCTCCTTTTCGAGGCAGTCATCCTCACTTTCATTAAAAGGCAACAATAACCAAGACACAACGTTCCCGAGTGTTGTTATCTAAACCCTCTGTCTCACACTCTCTTCCATGCTAAACCTACTGAATTTTGAGCCACACCTGGTTTTAATTCTAAGCACCGAACCTCCTTTTTCTTTAAAAAACTAAAGTTAGGTTGATAATCTAAATGAAATACAGTAGCATGAAGCTTATCCAATCATCCTTGTTAATAAGACTTTTTAGCATCTTTAATTGTGTTGTGTGTCTGTTGGTCAACTGATTCTAAATTTCCTCGAGCCAGACAACTGTTTTGTTCCCTCAAAGTAAGAATCTTATTTTGTTTTCTCTTAATATAGTAGAGAGGTAGGTTCCTTACCAACCTATTTTTCTTCCTTGGAAGCATAAACATTTGTCCATCTTGCGGCTATATATTATCTTTAGTTTCAGGTATCCGCCAATTATTTTTCCAAGTAAAGAAAGAAACTAGATTATTTTTAAGGAAAATGCTATAAAGGTTTTTCTATTTAGAGAATCAAAAAGCTTTTTTTTTTTTTTTTTTTTTTATTAAGATGGTAAAAACACGTTTTTATATATATTTTTAATGTACTGCTAAATTATTTTAATAGAACATTCTGCAAATTTCTTACTGGTGCCATGGTTTAAAATCCAATTTTAATATTTTTTTGGATAAGGTTTTCGTTGGATTAAAATATATTTACATAAAAAGTATATTATTGAAGTAAGCAGATTATATTCTGATAAAGCTAGTTGGGTTTAAGTGATAAGTCATTTACATAGGAATATGTTATCACATCCCTTATATTGGTAGAACTTAGGTCCATCTAACTAGTCATTCTTGATGGAGACAAGAGAACATTAACTCACTTAATTTTTTAATCATCCCTATTTCAAAACTAAAATGAATTAAACGCTCAAAAATATGTCTTTGTTGTACGAAGAAAATTATAGTATATCCCTCACAGATTTAAGGGTTTTAGATTTTAAGACTGTGATGAATTTCTCTCTTTCTTTCTTTGTTTTATTTATTTATTTATTTATTTCTGTCTAAATCCGTTTTACTATTGGTCCAAAAGATAATTGCATCAAAATGTTTTTGGATTTATCTGTACAGCAAATCTCATATATGAAACCCGGTTCACATCCTTCATATTGACAAAAAAGGGATTTTCTCTAAATGCAGCCAACGTTTAACACAAAAAAGTACAAATTTATTCATCGTTGCGTTAAAGCTAATTTAAGAATATGAAATATTTTAATTAAAATTAGTTATCAACATTAGTTAATAATTAAATAACTATTATTATTTATAATAATACATTATCATGAATGGCAATGAGCTGTTTCTATTTCATGGAAGAAGAAATTTAAACCTGAACCTAATTTTATATCTATTTAGAAAAATTGTATTTATAAGTATGACTTTAACAAAAGGTGGCAGTGTTATATAACATGATTTATTTTTTTTAATATATAAATAAATTAGATTATATAGCACAACTTTACATAAAATATTTTATTTATTTGAGTAAATGTTTAAAATTAGATTCTATTATAAAGCGCCACTTTCGTTTATTTTTATTTTTTTAATTAAATTGAAAAGTAAAACCTGGATTCACCAAAAATAACAGATGAGAAGCATTAGGGACACTCTTCCTGTGACAGACAAGAGTTGAGTAAGGTTAGCGATGCTCTCAATCTCCACGTCGCAGAAATCGAAACCGGTAAGAATCAATCGAACGCCGTCGTTTTCAGGTGATACATTTTGCTTCCATTCGTGTTCTGTTGTACAGCATATAGCTACAGACAACACCTGCATATTTTTGTTGTGTACAGCGTTGTTGCTACAACACTAACAAATCATGCTAGAAGGAACAAGCATGAAAACAATCATCGCTAGACCATAATTAAACATTCAATTTTACTGTTAACCATTTTTGTTGAAAACTCACTTTTGGGGAGATGATATTAAATGATTAAGAACTTTTCTACCGCAGTTAATTTCTTCAACCTTATTCTATCCCTAAACGCCTAATTTCAGCTTGGAATGCGGGGTTGGAGATTAATGTTTCACGTGCAAGAATCCTTATGTCTTCTCTTGAACAATCTCTTGAGACTCGAACCAACTCTCCTATTGCACCTCCACTAATCATGTCTCTTGCATTTGCTTCTGCATCACATCGAACAAAAAGTTGTCGGGACATGCCATGTTTAGTATCTAATTGTCGTAGCCAGATAGGATGCATTTAGTGCTCACCATTTTGTGCTAAGTGGCAGAGAACAATCTCAATATGACGCCTAACTAATGAGACTTCATTATTTGCGTTTTTCACTATCCATGGAAGCAAACCGTCCGCAATAAGTAAAGACCTTCCAACCTTTGTCCCTTTATAATATACCAAAACTTTAACTCAAGCAATAAAAATATGGTTGATAAAGAATAAGCATATGTAATATGATAAGATAAAGGAAGTAACGCGCCAATGCTATGAATTCAAAGTTATTATTACCTTGAGAAGATGCTTTAGACTCGCATTTTGCAAAATTGGCTATTGCGCGGGCAATCTGGGTATCTACGTCGCCATGTCTGAATCTGAGCATTCCCAGCAGTGCCTTCATACCACCTTCATCCCTTATCTTTATTTGTAGTTTATCTAAATTCACGAACATCAAACTTGTTACCAACATTGTCCTTAATGCCTACACCATAATTGCATAAAGATCAATTTAATTTATCCAACAAACACAGCTCCAAAATCTGCAATGAAGCCATGCTATGCTTGACATCTTCAACTTTTGAATTACCACATGTATATTTTTCATTTAATTTTCAGGATGAAATTATCGGGCATTCACCTAGCACACGAGGGCGAAAATACTGTTTTAAGTCAAACATCAGAATCATTTTGGATGAATTTAATCATCATTATCAAAATTCTCAATTAAGATGCCATGGAATATACATCATTGATTCAACAACTTAGCGAATTCAAAATTTGGTAAGCTGTTTTTTTTTTTTTTTTCCAATTACTACTAAAATATTTAAACCTAGAATCTTGTGTAAACTATTGAAAATCTCCACTATTAGGCCAACCTTAGAGAGCTATATTGGTTTACCAGTGATTCTGATTTTTTTTTTCGGTGAGCTGATTTATTAGAATTTTTACTAACAAGAATGATTGTCTGAAACTTTATTGTATTATATCATATGGTAAAACAGACATAATGCATACGTCCTACATTTCAAATGAAGGCAAAGTATGAATGATCATGAGATTGGATGCATTATATTATCTAAGCCGAAGTTATAATCTCAATCTGAAGTGCAGATAACCACAATAGCTTAAAAAATTAGATAAGATCAAAAGTTTACCATTGCCACAAAGATTACCAATTGCTCCAGCAACCACTCGAAGGGTCTGAGGATCTTCGGCAATTGTTGCTGTCATTGATAGTAAACTAATGCCTCCTTGAGCCGCAATGAGATCTTGATTGGTTTCTGTTAAGACACCAAACAAGGTTGCACATACCAGGAGAGAATGAAAAAGTGCAAAGTAAATATTCATTTTAAGTTACTAGTAGGTAAGAAATTTAAGATGTGGAAATTTACCATTCATCGCCAAATTTGCTATGGCGCTTGCTGCAACTCTTTGAGTGGTTTCATCTTTTGAGTTCTTAAGCAGTGTGAGCAAGGACGTAAGTCCACCTGCTTCCACAATTTTCTTCTGGTTTCTTTCTGCAGTATATCATGGTTGATAGATGTCATGGTTAATTTTTTTATAATATGAATTTCAACAAAGCAGTAAATAGACTTTCGGCTTATGTTTATTGAAAAATAAACTTCGTTTTGGCCTTAAATAAATATACAATATTCTAGAGAGACATGTCCTAAAAAGATCTTTCTAGGAAATAATTCTTTAATAGTATGCAGAAAGGTTTAGAATGTTCAGGCTAGTATTTGGGGAGAAAGTTTAAGGAATTTGTAACATGTTTATGAGGAACCATTAATATAAATAGGATGATTATCTTACAGTTTGTTTCAAGCAAAAAAAACTACAGGTGATCAAATGTCAATTCTTCCTCCAAAATTTTAGTCTATCCCATTCTCAAATATTTTCTTCACTACTAAAACCTCATTCAAAGATTGTTATGGCAAGAACAAGAAACCGAAATTCATCAAACATTAAATTTTTTCATTTTCACGTATTATTTGACCCCAAATCATATAATGCAAAAGTCATATATGTCAATCCTAGATGTTAGATTGCTATTTTTATTTATAAAAGGTATTTAAACTTCAGTTGGCAAACCTTCAGAAGTTAAATTTGTTATTATTTTCACGGCATTGATTTGCGCATCAAGATCTTCTGCTTCAAGCAATGACAGAATCTTCTGCAATGTCCCTGAAAAATGTTGATTTTATCAGCCAAAAATATCTTCTCAATTGAAAGTTATTTATCAATATAAAATGTGAAGTTTTCAACATACAATATATGCAAAAAAACTATATAGCAAATAGTAATTACTGCCATGTTCAAAGAGCTTGGCAACAGAGGCCTTCTCTCCATTTGCCCTAACTCGCTGTTGTTGCTTAACTAGGAAAGTGGGAGAATAATCTAAATCACCAGCAACTTTCTCAAATCCAACTCCACAAGTCTGTGTCTGCAAGATCAATATGCAATTCCAGTAGATAGACAAATTACTTGGTCAAGGACTGTTAAATTTATAGATTATTTTCTAAAATGGGCCAGAAAAATGGACAAGTCTGTGTCTTAAAATTGGTAGTAATGAAGATTTTTTGTAGTGTAGAGGAACTGTAGTTTAAACCTTCATTTCTTCATAGAGTAGAAAAAAAGTGCATGATGTTGCCATGGCTTGGATTACCATTAGCATAAAAATGATTGCAAATTATAATATAGATCCACATGTCCGTTTCACTCCTATCATGTCTAGTCCAAACTGAGTTAAAGATATTAAATAGTAATACTAATAATGATACATTAGTTAGCATTATCCCCTTTTTAGCTTTTACAATCAAGTGAAAAAATCACCATTTAAAGCGTAGTTTCTTAACAAATCTTGAATCACTCTACTTCAATCAAAACTAGTAATATAAATTATTTACGATATTTGTGCACTTCAAATATAGCTTACTTTTCCAACTTCAGAACCTAATTGCAGCAGTTGACTTCGCAATCTTACTATTTCTCCTTTGAGTTTCTCTTTCTGGTGTGTCTCATCTTCCAACATCTTACGAAGTTTTAAGATATCTGACTCTCTTGATGCCTATCATGGAGACATATACGTGTAAAACTAATTCAGATGTCAGATAAATGAGGAAGGCACATGCAAAGTGAAAAGTATAAACATACCTCCAACATCTTCAGTTCTGCCATTTGATTTTTCAGATGATTTATCTCCTTTGCGGTAGCATTTCTTAAAAGAGTCTCTTTCTGAAGTAATTTTTTCAGAATGACTATTTCCTCAGCAGGTACAATGGTCATCTAGGAAATAATAATTCAGGTGTGAGCATGAAATGTTCCACTACTGACTATCGACTTATATTATTTTCATTGTAATCTAATTTGGATTCTCAGAATTATTAGTCAACTCCTCCAACGTAGGAGCAAAAATAAAATATAGTCGAAACAACTTAATTGAGTCCTAAAATCGCAGGGAAAATTATTGATGTCATAAATTGATGTTACCAGTTTTGATTAAAGTAGTAAGTAACTAATAACTTAGTATCATAATGGTTGATGTTCAACCCTGTTGTCAGGGATGTTTTGCTGTTATGTTAGCATGAGACAACATAAGGTACGTATAACAAAAAATACTACTACGTACCTCTCTGGTAGATGTCATACAAAATTCCTCGTACTTTTTCTTATTCTGCATCACTTTCTCTTCCAGCATCTTAATTGATTCCTTATAGTCTTTCTGATAGTTCAATTTTTCTGTCTGATAAGAGGAAACGGGTAACATTACATATTTACCTAGAAATCATCAAATCAAATCATCCATGTTTTGAGGCTAATTGAACTTCAAAACATTACTTGAAATCAGGAGAAACATAAAATCCTTGTAACTTAAATTGCATGTGACAATCCGGGTAAATAGCAGAAACTATGCGCTTGCAACATACATTAGATAAACGAACCTCCAATGAATCCGAACAGTTCTTTTGGATCTCTGAAATCCGATGTTGTGCTTCTGTGGTAGATCTTTCAATATCATCCTCAAATACCTTCTGCCTCCTTTCATATTCCATGTTGAGTTTGTCTAATTCTACGTCTAGCCTTGTACATATACTCTTGTAATCAATTTCCTGCTTTAATTTTACCATGTTTTCCTTCATAACCTAAGAGGCACAATTTGGTATTAAAATTGGCCTATATTTTCTATAAAAATGTATATTAATCACAGCAGCACAGTTTGGTGTGTTTTCTTTTATATTGAAAGCTAGTTATGGAAAGTAACAATCAGTAGCTGCAACCGTCATGAAACCTCCCTCTATTAAAAGAAGTAAAATAGAAAGTGCCACTCCCTGGCGGTGTATAAATATCTATAAATTGCCAATAAATTGAAACCCAATACAGAGAAAAGCCATTACTTACTCCACGTTTCAAATAATTTCTCCAACTAATTTCTATATCCTCTTCCACATGTCCTGTGTTCCATGATCATATACCCTAAAATAAAAAAATAACTATGCCATAACTTAAAACTGTCAAGAATCTTCACAATGAAGAATAAGAGGCATTCAGTCATAGTTTATCTTATTTTTATTCCATCAATATAATATCCTTGCGAAATGAATTGGCAACATTACGGAGTTCAATTATAGAACTGTCAACTGGACAATACTTCATTAGAATAGGGTTAAGAAACGGAACATATTTTATTGAATTTAGAACCCACCCTCCATCCAAATATTATAGTTCTGTAAGTCTCTCTCCCCTGTGATGTGGAGAAGCTCCAATAGTATATTGTAGCAATGAACAGTGATGTTCTTGCTGAACTTGTTAAAATATATGTCAGGAAATTTATATCCAGTAACGTAGATTCAATTCATAAAAATTACAGATGTTTTGACAACCATGCCTATGAAGTATATATAAAACACTACCCTAAGCTTCACCACGTATTTGTTAAGTATTAATCATTTTCAAACAAGAAACTTGAGCGCTGTGACAGAAACAGGTTGGCGGTGTCGTTTATACCTTTGCCAGCATTGAACGCATAAAATGCCATAATACAATGTTTAATGTTTCATGTTTAAAAAGTTAGATAATTCCAAATCCTTCTACAGAAAGTTCCTACATAATCAAGAAATAATTGAATGTATTTTATGTTTATTCCTCATTCCTTATGTCCAAGAAACCTTTTCTGGAAAAAATTACCAATAACAAAAAAAAATCTATATTATTGTGAATTTCTTCCCCTTAAGAAGGGTTCTTGTACAAAGAACTTTTTCTTCTTTATGATTGCTTCAAAATATGTAAATTTCTTGGAAGTTTTATTTATTGATATTTTATGAATTAAGTGACATTGCATGATCATCAGATATAATTTTTTATACAATAAGAAACTCAAACAAGTTTCTTTCCATTAAAGTGTATGTATTTTATTTTAATTAATATTTACAACGTGTTAGGAGGATCGGTAAAAAATTATAACATGAACTGAAATAAAATAGGGGTGAGATGAAAAATATTAATCGTTATATTTGATCTCATCTTGTGTTGTTAAAATAATAATATTAATTTCAGATATTGTTTATATTGGAATTTAATTTGAAAAGCGCCACAAATTTGTCTTGTAAAACATCTTAATTAATTAAAAAGATAAAAAGATATATATAAATTATCATCCACTTCAATTTATAAATAAATTATCTCTAAAACAAAATGTTTAGTAAGTATGTGACTGATTATATAATTTTTAAAACTTAATTATCTTTATATGAATATATATTTTGAATTGTTTTTTTATCTTACATAAAAGATATTAATTAATAATCAAATTTTATCACAAATAATCAAGATTAAAAAACGTGAGCTTTTAAATCTTTTGAATGATTACGCGACTTTAAATCTTGATTATTCCTATGTGATTATATAATATAAAATTATTCTTTTTATTCGCACATAAAAAAATCATTCTCTTTATTCGATCTCTTTAATCATATCTGTATAATTTATTTTTTAATGACTAATTATAACTCTCATTTGTTCTATATCCTCAGTTAAGAAGAATAATAGGGGCGCTAAATCATAATTCCACAAGTTATTGGACATAACACAAAGTTGTTAGGTTATAGTTGGATCTAAATTCTGAAAAATTGGTTCCTTGTCCTATTGAATGAAGTGGTGAATTTGTGAAGTAGTTAATTAATAAGTATTATTCATAACTTATATATCTTTATTTATTTTTTGTTTTTTATTTTTCTCCCACTGAAACATCTTTTATTTTTACCTTCTAATTTTTTTTATCTATTTATATTATTTTTATCCAACTTATTAAGGATCTCCATAAGCAAGCAGGGATGAAACTAGGCCCCTCTCTATTTTCTTCTAATTTAGTTTTGTTTTAGTTAATTATTATTTTATTTAGGAAATTAAGTATATAAATAAGATTATTAAACTATTTTTTAAGAAAATAATTTATGCTTTATATTTTTTATAACATAGCTAGTATTTTTTATGTTTTATATAATATATTGGGGTATAATTTATTTTTAATATTTTTTGTAATGTTATTGTTATTTAAAAAATTGTAATTTATACGCAAACTACTTTAATTAACATTTCTTATATATCGTTTTAAGAATTAAATATTATTTATTGACTTTTTAATAAGTCAAACTGAACATTAATTACATAATTAATAACATAAATTGTATATCTTTCTATACTGTTTTCTTCTATATTCTCTTTGACTTAATTATTAAAAGCAAAACACTTTTTTATATTAGTTATTTCAAGTTTTTTATATTGATTATAGAACTGATTTAAAAAAAAACATTGATAAAAAGAAAGACGTCTTTAGGTTGATTTTAATGATTTTTTAAAGTGATTATTATGAAAACGTATAAAAAACATCTATATTTTAATATGTTGTCAAACCATCCATTTAAAATGTAAATTTTTAAATTGGTTGTTATACAAATGATTTGAAAAGTTATTTTTTAAATTAATTTCTTCAAAGTAATCGATAAAAAAATATTTTCTTAACTTAAAGTTTACGAGAATAACTTTTTTTTATTTTAAAAATAAAAATAAAAACTTTTTTAAAAATTTATTATTTATTTTATTATAATTTAATGATTAAGATGCTTAGTATTTTACACTATTATTATTATTTTTGGAAGATTTCAAATTTTCGTCCCAATCTGCACCCAAATTCAAGTGCCATTTATTTACTATGAGTTGTAATACCACAGGTTTTGAAAATAAGCTTAACCTATGTTCGTTGCAAGATAGACAATATATGGAAAGAAAAAGCAAAAAAATGAAATATAAGTAAAGAAAAGGAAAATAAAAAATTATTTATTTTAAAACAATTGACAAGAAACGAATAAATTAATTAAAAATAAATAATTATATAATTGTAAGATTACTTATTTATTTATTTATTTTGGAAAGAGATAATGATTTTGAAAATTAACAAATTTTTCTTATATTTTGTACTATTTGTTTTCGTATATATAAAACAGTAAAACCACGTGGAATGTAGTAGAAAATAACCTATTTTTTACTAAAAGAAATGTCTTCTTTTTCGTTTTGTTTATTTTGTTCTGATACTTACTTTCCACTTTCCATTCTTTCGAATCCAGGGACATGAAAGCCCTCACTTCTGTTTCCACGTCAATTTCCGCTTTGTCCTTCTTTGATAGGAAAATAGTTAATGAAATAGGATTACAAACAAGAATCATATAATAATGTCATTAAAATTGTACACCAATTCTCCTTTGTAGATTTGAAATCTGCAGAAAAGGAAACAAAAGTTTGTCACATCATTGAGGCAAAGAATCCACGACAAGTTTGTAACTCTAATTATCGTATTTTATTCTTAAATAAGTAAAATATATATATATATATATATATATATATATATATATATATATTATTGACTTTGACTCTATAAATATATAATGCGAGAATACATATTAAAATAATGTTAATAATAATATTGTAAAACTAAATATATTTAAATACAAATATGAGAGAAAAGAATAATTTGAAAGTATTGGAAAATCTAAGTGAGTCTAAGTTTCATATTAAATAAGAAGAAGAAAATTGAGTAACATATAAGGAAGAAAAATTCATTATATAATATTTTAAGGTTTTTGGTTGAGAGTAGAGTTAATCATTTATATTGGTTGAACTCATACTTCATTAGTGTCGTATTTTTTCCTAGTACATAACGGTTCATACTTATGTTAGTTAGACTCATGTCTTATTGATATTATCACTTCCAATAAATCTTCTCTTAAAAAAGATAGACTGGTGTAATAAGCATCCTTTAGTAAGTCTCTAATATACTAAAGTATTTCAGTTTGGACTCTTATTGTTTGCATGTTGCCTCTGATTAATGAATTGAAAAACATAGAATTTATTTTATAATTTTATTCATATTATTTTTGTACACAGATACTATAATCTTATAGTATTTTACTCCGATAAATCAGGACTAAATAAAGGAAGTTCTGATTATACAATATTTTGTACCGCTATACAAACCTATAATTTAGCTAAACAAATATCTTAATCCCAACACTCCCCTCAAGTTGGTAAATGGATGTCATATATTCCATTAATGAAGATGACACAATTGAGAGATTTAAAGCTAGATTAGTAGCAAAGGGGTACACACAAACATATAGAATAGATTACACTGAAACGTTTGCTCCCGTAGCCAAAATTAGTACAGTTCGAGTATTGTTATTTCTAGTTGTAAACCTTGATTAGTCCTTAAAACAATTTGACGTAAAAAATATCTTCTTACACGAGGAATTGTCTGAAGAAGTTTATATGAAGTTACCAAAAGGATGTGGGATCCCAAATACACATAGCAAGAAGGTATACAAGTTGAAGAAGTCATTGTATGACAAAAACAATCGCCACGAGCATGGTTTGGTAGATTCACCAAGTCAATGCTTGCTTTTGAATATCAACAGAGCAACCAAGATCATACTTTGTTTCTAAAGAAAAAGGAAGGAAAGATTACAATTCTTATCGTTGATGTTGATGACATGATAGTTACGAG